TTCACTCACTTATTCTCTTCTATATAAAAATCTTTGTAGATAATCTACCTATAATCATTAGCTAGATCTACTATTTGAAATTTATTTATTTATTTTTAATTTTACTATTTGTAATTTATACTAGAGAAAAACCTTAAAAGGAACTTTTCTCCAAAAGTAAAAAAGTTTAGAAAAGATGAAGCCTAACTTTTGTATGGTTTAAAAATAAGAAAAGACAACATTACCAGACTCAGCTGAAAAAATCAAACTCTGAACATTATATGGCCCTCACTGCTTGGTCCACTCACTTGCCCTACATGACACCTTAGCCCGCACTTGTTGGTTCAGCGTAATTCATAGGCATGCCTGCTCAGGCTCGCGTTGTCTCTTCCCCCTCCACTTGTGTGCTCCCCCTCTCGATTATGCTCAATCGTTCACATGCTATCGCCTCTACGAAACCTGCTCAACTTCGCTCAAGCTCGATAGATTGCATCACTCAATTGAACCGGGTTCATTTCCTTCGTCTTCTCTATCATGCTTGATCCAATCATTTCTTTCAACTTTGCTCACATTGTTTATCTCACCGACTCCCCTCCTTTTGGCGACATGAAAACCAGCACGAGCCTATTCAAAAATTCCCCAAACATTACAACGACATTTCTAAACAGTAGTGTTCATTTGAGCCAAAAGTTCAGCTGGTAAGTTGCAGTCAGAGATAATTTTCTTTAGAAGTTATATTACCTAATTAGGTTCACATCTTATCCCAATAATTTGATGTCAGATTTAAGAATGATCATCTTCATTAGTGCATCATTAGCATTCATAGTGCCAATCACTTTCGTCACAAAACTTAAAATTAGCATACAATTCTAATTGCTCTATCCATTTGACCCATAAGAAAAAAGGGTAAGTTGAAACCAAGGATAGTTTCATCTTCTAAGAACTATGTTGCCTAATTAAGTCCATTATCATCTTTAATTTCAATGTCATTAGCGTTAGCTCAATTACTTAGGGTCAGCTTTGTGACTCATCATCACCATCACAATTATCATAATCATAGCAACATGAGTTCAAGCTTATGAATCCACATCAGTTTCTATAATTCTATTCATGCAGATTTCTTCACAACGCATTAACTCCTACTTCTAATCCTTCCACAACAACTTCATTCATCCATCTAATTTGTGCTACTAAAACTTTTGCAGTATATGCCCTAATGATCTAAGTATATTTCTTCAATAAATGTCTCTCTTTCCATCTTTCTAATATAATCACCTTTTTTTATTCTTTCTAGTTATAAAATTCATCCATTTTCATATTATCATTTCTACCACACTAAACTCGGCCATAATGACTCTAATCAATATAGCATATCGTGGCTAAATCATGAGATTGTTTTATCACATGTATTCTCGAGGCACTTCTTCCTTGTAAATTCAAAGCCATACTTTTACAAATTACAACATTATTCCCATAATATTAAAACTAACGTAATCTAAACCCACCAGATCTAGGATTCATTTGGTAAGGATACCAAAAGTTTCAATGTTAGACCAAGTTGCATTTGGCCCGCTTCGTGAACATATTATGCCTTATGTTCTAGTCCGGAATTCATTCAAAAATTAAGTTCCAGAGAATATTCTTTTTGCTACAGAGAAATGAGAGATTTTTCAGTTCCCAGAGCAATACAATCAATAGCAATGAAATACATGATGGTGTTAATAAAACTACTAGTGCAATAAAGAGCAGACAATATCACATTCAAAACAAGACATATAAGTAAAAATGGCCAGTTTTAGCCAACCATACAAAGCCTTATTAGCCCAATGCAATAAAGTACGACCTATACTTGGTGCTTCCTTTCAAGTAAATAAATTAATAGAATAGATGAATCATCAACTACCTTATAGAGCTGGCAATATAAACAGTAAGTGGAGAAGAATCATGTGAAACTGCCCGAGTAGGCGTTTTCCAGAGGATATCAACCAGCGGCAATAAAGCAGAGGAACTATCACTTATTATGCGGACTTTGACATCACTTGTTGGAGATGAGGAAATAGCTCCATCTTGAACAAAGACACTTGAGACGGATGAAATGTGAGATGTAACCTTGAAAAAACAAAAAACATAATATGAGGAAAAGAGCGAAGTAAGCAGTACCATATGCATCAATGCAAAGTTTAACTATATAAACATTCACTGCTATCAGTCAGAACAAATAAAAAACTTAGCAAACACAATATTATATCATACCAACCACTTCAAATATCATATAAAAAATGAAGTTCAACTTTACATTGGTAATTAAAAATAACTAAGTTCTAATTTTACTTTATGGTTGAGATACATAAGCATGTGAGCTCCAAAATTCGTGCCCCTTGTATTTTATTCATGGGCTAGTGGTTGAAATGATGATTGCTCAATGTTTTAAGTTTTATAGATTGAGAGATTAATTACCATGACCATAAGTGGATAATGAAGGGAATGGTGATGACTTTGATCAAAATTACATAATTTCATTATCCTGCCTTATCATGGTTGTTAGTCTAATTAGTCAAATGAAATAGTCAACTCAACTTGAAGGTTTTTTGTCACCAACCATGGATTGTTTCTTCCAAGTGAACCTCATAGACCAAGAGTGGATCTAAAGAAAGAAACTTAAATCGACCGTAGATGATATTTTGTGCCCGGACAATGTACCTATGATTCACATATAATAGGCAAGAATCATTATGGAATATAAAAATTGCAGTCATAATCATAATATAATAGTGTCATTTTATAGAAAAGCATTTGTTTAAAAAATTCTAGTCATAATCATTACACTATTTGGAGCCGTTGAGGCAAATCATGCGGGCAGAGATGTCAATCAGGAAGGACGAAAATCAGAGAGCTAAATTAGAAGTTTTTATAATTAGGAGCTTCCTTATTTAAATTATTTTCAATGCCTTTATTATGATTTATTTCCCTTTTAGCTGAATATTTAGATTAAGAATATGCATTATTAAGTTACCTAAAATAGATTATGCAGAATATTTTGTACCTAAAATGGATTGTAAGATTATTATTTAATGAAATGAAAGCAAAGGGAAAAGGCAAGAAGCGTATTCAGGATTCAGCTTATTTGTCTCAAAACTTTGACATGGTATCAGAGCCACTTTGAATCGGTATGAATCCTTCGTAGTCTTCAGCACTAGCATAATGTTCATCGGCATCTTCAACTGCTTCCAAG